CTTCAAGTTTGCTAATTCTTTCTTCTGCCTGCCAAATCTGCCTTTGAATCCCTCTAGTGAATTTTTCATTTCAATTATTGTACTTTTCAGTTCGGGGGTTTATGGTATCTTTTTAAGTTTTCTGTCTCTTTACTGATATTTCCATTTTGTTCATACATCATTATCTTGATGTTCTTCACTTCTTCCTTTAGTTCTTTGAGCATCTTTAAGACAGTTGTTTTAAAGTCTTTGCCATCAGGTCTCTTTCAGGGACTGTTTCTGTTGACTTATTTTTCTTTCTTTGACTGGGCCATATTTCCTCTTTCTTCATACGTCTTGTGATTTTTTTGTTGTTGAAAAGCGAATGTTTGAATCTAACAGTGTGGTATCTAGAAATTAGATTCTCCCCCTCCCCTGGGTTTGCTGTTTTTGTTTACTTATTTGATGGTTGTATACTGTGTGTACGGTGAGGATAATATAAGCCTGAGGTATAAATGTAAGGTCTCCTCAAGTCTTTTCTTTTTCTTTCTTTCTGTTTTTGGTTTTGTTGTTGTTGTTGTTGTTGTTTTGTTTTGTTTTTTGACAGAGTCTTGCTCTGTCACCCAGGCTGGAGTGCAAACAGCGTGATCTCAGCTCACTGCAACTTCTGCTTCCCGAATTCAAGTGATTCTCCTGCCTCAGCCTCCCGAGTAGCTAGGATTACAGGCACCTGCCACCATGCCCCGCTGATTTTTGAATTTTTAGTACAGATGGGGTTTCACCATGTTGTCTAGGCTCGTCTCAAGCTCCTGACCTCGTGATCCGCTAGCCTCAGCCTCCCAAAATGCTGGGATTACAGGCATGAGCCACTGTGCCCAACCTCTCTCTCTTTTTTTTTTTTTTTTTTTTAAAAAAAAAATCACCCTCTGTCCCCCAGTGTAGTTCGGTGGCACAATCTCGGCTCACTGCAGCCTCTACCTCCCAGGTTCAAGCAATTCTTGTGCCTCAGCCACCCAAGTAGCTGGGATTACAGGCATGCGCCACCACACCCAGCTAATTTTTTGTATTTTTAGTAGAAACATTGTTTCTCCATGTTGTCTAGGCTGGTCTCGAACTCCGACCTCAGGTGATCTCCCTGCCTTGGCTCCCAAAGTGCTAGGATTACAGGCATGAGCTAGCACTCCTGGCTTCTCAGGTCTTTTCTGAGCCTTTCTCTGGGCATCCATGGTCATTTCTATTTTCCCCTATATGTGTGTTTGTTTTTGAATGTCCTAGTCTTTAATATCTGACTTCTAAAAGGGAAAAAAGCAAAAAAATAATGGGGGAGGTGCTGGCCCTTTAAATTACCTGGAGGTCACTTGAGCCCAAGGGAAAGGGGCTTGCAACCTTGGAGGGAGATATAATAACAGTGTCTCTCAGCGTCTTTGTCTGCACTTCTGTGATCAGAACCAGTAATCAGTGATCAGAGCACAGATCCTTGATATTTGGAGGGTCAGGGTCTTTGTTTCTGCCCATTCTGGCTCCCTCAAGCTATGTGCAGTTTGCTCTGGGAACATGGGCACAGCTGCCTACCATGTGACTGAGAGGTAGGGGATAGGTAGCTGCTATTCTGCTAAGAGCTGAAATTGACCAAAATTAACTACTATTTAATATCCACGCCTTCCCTTAGAAGTTGCAAGCCTTCAATAGATTCCAAAATAGTTTCAAAATAGTTACAGCAGGCAGATTTTGCTAATGCAGTTGTCTGGGTGGGGAAGATTGCTGGTGCTTTCTACTCCACCATCTTCCCCCACTCTTAGATTTTCACATGTGTGGTTACATTAAATCCTGATGAGCAGAGAATTTGCCCCAAATGTTTCTTGGTATTTTTAGGGAAATGTATACGTTGCAAATTCTAGTCTCCAGTGTGAATGATAAGTAAAATGTGGTTGTTGCTGTTACATCATTATGTTTTTTTCCCTGTTTTTAGATAAACCAGATATTTTCAATCAATGAAAAACGATGACAGATATTTCAGGCACTCTTCAATTAACTGGCCATAATATGTTTTATATTAAATGAAATGTTTCATAAGCCATGTACACTTTTAAAATTCATCTCTATCTCACCATACCTCACATGTTACAGTGCTTATGTTATGGCAAAATAAGACGCAGACTCAAGTTTTTATTTTATTTTATTATTATACTTTAAGTTCTAGGGTACATGTGCACAATGTGCAGGTTTGTTACATTTGTATACATGTGCCATGTTGGTGTGCTGCACCTATTAACTCGTCATTTACATTAGGTATATCTCCTAATGCTATCCCTCCCCCCTCCCCACCCAGACTCAAGTTTTAGAGTTCCTTACGGTAAGGTTGGCTAGAAGAAGGAATGAGGGCCCCCACACAAACTTGCAAGGCCCCAAAAGACAGTGAGATACATTTTTCTTGAGATACATGAAGTCACAAGCACACTAATCCTGGTGAAATGTTACAACCGTGCAAAGTATTTGGTAGTGTTAACTACTGATGTCCAGAGTTTCCATGAGGAATATAGCTGATATATATATATATATTTTTAAGATCATGCTGTTTATCTAGGGAGAGTAAAACATCGGTTTGCTAGGGTTTTAACTTTCCTTTCTTTTTCTTTTTTCTTTTTTTTTTTTTGAGATGGAGTCTCGCTCTTATCGCCCAGGCAGGAGTGCAGTGGCGCAATGTCGGCTCACTGCAACTTCTGCCTCCTGGGTTCAAGCGATTCTCGCTACTCAGTCGCCCAGTTAGCTGGAATTACAGGTGTCCGCGACCATGCCTGGCTGATATTTGTATTTTTAGTAGAGACAGGGTTTCATCATGTTGGCCAGGCTGGTCTCAAACTCTTTACCTCAGGTGATCCACCTACTTCGGCCTCCCAAAGTGCTGGGATTACAGGTGTGAGCTACTGTGCCCGGCTGGGTTTTAACTTTCTTAACTGGCAATGTATTTTTTTTGAGACGGAGTCTCTCTCTGTTGCCAGGCTGGAGTGCAATGGTGCGATCTTGGCTCACTGCAATCTCCGCCTCCTGGGTTCAAGCGATTCTCCTGCCTCAGCTTCCCGAGTAGCTGAGATTACAGGTGTGCACCACCACACCCAGCTAGTTTTTGTAGTTTTAGTAGAGATGGGGTTTCACCATATTGGCCAGGATGGTCTCCATCTCCTGACCTTGTGATCCACCCGCCTTGGCCTCCCAAAGTGCTGGGATTACAGGTGTGAGTCACCGTACCTGGCCCCTTTTTTTTTTTTTTTTTTTTTGAGACAAAGTATTGCTCTGTTGCCCAGGCTGGAGTGCAGCTGTGTGATCACAGCTCATTGCAGCCTCATTGACCTCCTGGGCTCGATTGATCCTCCCACCTCAGCCTCCTGAGTAGCTGGGCCTATAGGCATATACACTACACTCGGCTAATTTTTGCCTTTTGAGGTTTTTTTTCCTGATAGAGATGAGATTTTGCTATGTTGCCCAGGCTCGTCTCAAACTCTGGGCTGAAGTGATCTGCCTACCTTGGCTCCCCAAAGTATTGGAATTACAGGTGTGGGCCACCACACGTGGCCTAAGGCCTAATTGGCAGTCTTCATGTCATAGAACTTCATCTCTTATGGGCAGGGCTGGCTTCATGGACATGTAATTTGTGCTCTTAGAAACACCTAGTGCTTGATGTAATATTCTTCTGTTACCTTTGTGAAATTCTTAATAAATTATAAACAAAGGCCTCTGCATTTTCCTTTTCACTGGACCCTGCAAATTGTGTCACTGGTCCTGATTACAGGAGCTGATTTCATCTTCCTTGACCATAGCGTATGAGCTAAAGCATGGTTTTCACAGGATAAACTATGGACCAGGCAAGGGCGGTAGTAAGCCAAAGGAGCTTCTGGCCAACACCTTTTATTTCTAAGAGACTGAACTTGGTATGGTAGGCAAGGGAAAGCAAGGGCATAGTTTAGAAGCAGGCCAGGACTACTGACAGCTAGAGATTCTCCATTAATAACAACAGCAGCTGCTGGTACTCCTGCTACGCCCACCACCATTTCAAGTAGCTAAAATATCTGCCAGGCTTTGGCTTAGTGCTTCATGTTCATTATTTCCTTTAACTTAAATCTTCTCAACAACCTACAAAATGAGTATTATTTTTATAGATGAAGAATCCGAAGTTACCGGTAATTAAGTTGCCTACAATTACAGCAACATTCACTGTCCTACTCACTTAAAAAGAATCAGTCTATCTTGTCTTGTTAAAATTGGATGTGAATCACTGATATACCTCCTTTAAAAGATGTATTGGTAGGGCAAGGGCCATAGACTAATGCTTCTTTAGTTTTTTTTTTCCTACTTTTTTACTTTTATGTATAATTGTAGATAGTATCGTTGTTTCGTACAGTACCTTTTGGAGACATTTTCTTTCATTTTTTTCTCCACGGATGCTATCTGGACAGTATAACAATACTGGAAATGTTTTCCAAGAAGAAATATGTATATCCTCTTTCTCTAAGAAGATGTCAGTAGACAGTCCTATCTGTTTTTTAAACCTCAGCCAAAATAACATTTAGTTCATTGATTATTTCTGCTATTATTGTTTTCTTGGTTTTTGTGTGTGATTGTATTCCACCATAATTTTAAAAGATTATCCAGCCAGGCATGGTGGCTCATGCCTATAATCCCAGCACTTTGGGAGGCCAAGGCAGATGGATCTCTTGAGGCTAGGAGTTCAAGATCAGCCTGGGCAATGCGACAAAATCCCGTCTGCAAAAAATACAAAAATTAGCCAGGCATAGTGGCGCATACCTTTAGTCCCAGCTACTGGGGAGGCTGAGGTGGGAGGATCACCTGAGCCTGGAGGTGGAGGTTGCAGTGAGCTGAGATCACACCACTGCACTTCAAACTGGGTGACACAGCAAGACCCTGTCTCAAAACAAAAAAAGATTATCCATGTGTTCTGTTTTAATTTTGCATTGAGATGTAGTTTTTCACAAGTTTATAAATACAGAAATCTCATTCTGGGCTAACCCTAATCATGTGTCTTGCAGGAAAGCGTCTCTAGCAGCTGATGTCCCCAGACTTGGATATAGTTCCTCATCCAGTCACAAGTACATCCCCCGGAGGGCAGTGCTTTATGTACCTGGAAATGATGAAAAGAAAATAAAGAAGATCCCATCCCTGAATGTAGATTGTGCAGTGCTCGACTGTGAGGATGGTGTGGCTGCAAACAAAAAGGTAATGGCATGATTTTAGTATGAGAAAAAGAAAGGTATTAAAATTTGCTTCTCTTCCGAATAGTGACATTGCCCACAATTTGGAAAGATTCTACCGTACTCATCTTTTGTTGATTATTAACAATTCTGGCCAGGCGCGGTGGCTCAAGCCTGTAATCCCAGCACTTTGGGAGGCCGAGACGGGTGGATCACGAGGTCAGGAGATCGAGACCATCCTGGCGAACACGGTGAAACCCCGTCTCTACTAAAAAATACAAAAAGCTAGCCGGGCGAGGTGGCGGGCGCCTGTAGTCCCAGCTACTTGGGAGGCTGAGGCAGGAGAATGGCATAAACCTGGGAGGCAGAGCTTGCAGTGAGCTGAGATCCGGCCACTGCACTCCAGCCTGGGCGACAGAGCCAGACTCCGTCTCAAAAAACAAACAAACAAACAAACAATTCTTTGGCCTACTTTTATATAGGTTCTAAATGTGTATCTCTTTTCTCTGAGAGAAAGGAAGAATCCCACCAAAATGTATTTTAAAATCGTGACCTTCAGTATATGAGACTGTGTGTATGTATAGATAAAAAGATAGACAATCAATTTTGGCCGTGATATTTGCTGGTCTAAGTAAATGAGTGACATCAGGGGTCCCCAATCCCCAGGCCATGGACCAGTACAGGCCACAGTACAGGCCTGTTAGGGACTGGGCCAGACCCCAGGAGATGAGCCGTGGGTGAACAAGCGTTATGGCCTAAGCTCTGCCTCCTGTCAGATCAGCAGTGGCATTAGATTCTCAAGGAGCGCGACCCTGTTGTGAACTGCCCATGTGAAGGATCTAGGTTGCACGCTTCTTATAAGACTCTAACTAATGCCTGATGATCTGAGGTGGAACAGTTTCATCCGAAACCATTGCACCGCCCCACCTCCCATGGAATAATTACCTTCCACAAAACAGGTGTCTGGTGCCAGAAAGGTTGGGGACCACTGAATTAGATAATTCTAAAATTGTGGTGTCAGATTTTCAGACTGATAAAATGCAACTAGGAAGTTATTTCTTCTTACCACCAGGTATACTGAGTAGTGGTCTTCTCTCTTCTGGGATATGTATCAAGAGAATAAAACATAGCTTTTCATGGATAAATCACCATTTTCTCTACTTAATTGACGGAAAATGACACCTAGAACCTTAGTGGTTGTCTGTAGCTTCTGGCTTATTTCCTTATGGCCTGACCGAAGAGATGAGCCTTAGAAAATATCCAATTTGTGGCCGGGCACGGTGGCTCAAGCCTGTAATCCCAGCACTTTGGGAGGCCGAGACGGGCGGATCACGAGGTCAGGAGATCGAGACCATCCTGGCTAACACGGTGAAACCCCGTCTCTACTAAGAAATACAAAAAACTAGCCGGGGGACGTGGCGGGCGCCTGTAGTCCCAGCTACTTGGGAGGCTGAGGCAGGAGAATGGCGTAAACCCAGGAGGCGGAGCTTGCAGTGAGCTGAGATCCGGCCACTGCACTCCAGCCTGGGTGGCAAAGCGAGACTCAAAAAAAAAAAAAAAAAAGAAAGAAAATATCCAATTTGTAGGCCAGATGAGGTGGCTCATGCCTGTAATCCCAGCACTTCGGGAGGCCAAGATAGGAGCATCGCTTGAGCTCAGGAGTTTGAGACCAGTCTGGGCAGCATAGCAAAACCCCGTTTCTACCAAAAAAAAAAGAAAAAAATTAGCCAGGTGTGGTGGCGTGTGCCCGTAGTCCCAGCTACTCAGGAGGCTGTGGTGGTAGAATCACTTCAGCCCAAGAGTTTGAGGCTGCAGTGAACCATGATCATGCCACTGCACTCCAGCTGGAGCAACAGAGTGAGACCCTGTCTCCAAAAAAGTTTTTAAAAACCAAAATAACCGGCCGGGCGCGGTGGCTCACGCCTGTAATCCCAGCACTTTGGGAGGCCGAGACGGGTGGATCATGAGGTCAGGAGATCAAGACCATCCTGGCTAACACAGTGAAACCCCGTCTCTATTAAAAATTACAAAAAATTAGCTAGGTGTGGTGGCGGGCGCCTGTAGTCCCAGCTACTCGGGAGGCTGAGGCAGGAGAATGGCGTAAACCCGGGAGGCGGAGCTTGCAGTGAGCTGAGATCCGGCCACTGCACTCCAGCCTGGGTGACAGAGCAAGACTCCGTCTCAAAAAAAAAAAAAAAAAAAAATAACCAATTTGTAAAAAGGTACAAAAGACTCTTGCTGCTTGATTGTATAGTAGTTGCTTTTTATTTTGTTTTGCTCAACTTTGTTTTCTATGTTTTTCTAATGAACATGGATTTATTCAGTAATTCGTTGAGATATATAAATCATTATAACAATAACTTACATTTGCTTGGAACTTTTAAAGTTAAAAACATGAGTTTGCTTGACCTTTGTCTATCCAGGCCCCAGACAATGAGGTTAGGCTGGGAATGGGTCGTGGGAGGGGCAATGAGGGAGCTGGCTCTCTGGATTTATGCCTACTTGAAAGTTTCTCGCCCCAGGTGACCTGAAACAACGTAGCTGAACCATACAATTTTCTGGATTAATTGCTTTTTCTGGAGTTTCCAGCAAATATTTGCCTTAATTTTAAAGAAAAAATTTAATTTCCAGTATCTTCCTAATGGTCAAACTAAGGCTTTCCAAGTATTTGGAAAAGGATTAGAATGAGCCTGTGGAATCTAAAATGTCTACTCAACATCTTTGGCATGTGCCAAGGAAAATACTATTAATCTTTCTCCTAGTGATTAAAGTAAATAGGCCTTTTTCTGAAGGCTATAATGTGATTTCAGTATGCTCCTTCCTATACCTCATGTAGTGCACTCCAAGATTAGATGCGAAATTGTAATTCCAGTTCTGTGTGACCCAGGGCAATTCACTTTACTTCTTTGCCTCAATTTCTTATCTATACTGTAGGGATGACAATATCTTCTTTTGTCAGGACAGGGTTTATTATGAGAAAAAAGTTGATAAAGTACCTGGGAGTAGCTTGATTTCCTATAGGAAATAGATTAGATAAATCCTGTAGTAATCATGATTAGAGGGGAATTTATTTTAGCATTGTAGCCATTAGCAGTGAGCCATTAGCAGTGAGCCATTAGGTGCCCTGATAAACTTCTAATTATAGTTCTTCACAAATCTTGAGGCTGTCCTCCAATACCCACCTGAGAATGTTTTCTGCCACTCAGATGAGTTGGAAATAGAGTCTGTTTCTGATTTACATTTCCTTATTGTTTATCTGGGTTCCAAAGCCATCCTTATCTCCATAGTAGTAGCAGCTGTGCTACCACTTAGGAGAAACATGAAGAGGAGCAGGGAAAGAAAAGTTGATGATGGGCAAGCAGTGCCCGCCATCTTGAAGTACGTATGTCCACATAGTGTCTTTATTAGGATATTTTCATTCTTCTAATGCAGTTGGACATTGCAATGTGCTAGACACCTGTTTTAGGCATACTAAGCTTAGAGGCAGCTAAAAGGTCATTAAAAATTTTTTTTTTGGTCGTTCTGTTGCCCAGGCTGGGGTGCAGTGGTGTCATCATAGTTCTTGCAGCCTCCAACTTCTAGGTTCAAGCAGTCCTCCCACTTCAGCTTCCTGAGCAGCTGGGACTATAGGCACCCACCACCATACCCAGCTAATTGTTTTATTTTTGTAGAGATAGGGTCTTGCTGTGTTGCCCAGGCTGGTCTTGAACTCCTGGACTCAAGTGATCCTCATGCCTCGGCCTCCCAAAGTGCTGGGATTACAGACATAAGCCATGATGCCCGGCCAAAATTCTCTTTTTTATCCATAGAAACTTCTGGAAAGCCAAGCTGGTCTTTGTTTAAAATAATAATATCCCGGGCGCGGTGGCTCACGCCTGTAATCCCAGCACTTTGGGAGGCCGAGGCAGGCAGATCACAAGGTCAGGAGATCGAGACCATCCTGGCCAACATGGTGAGACCCCTTCTCTATTAAAAATACAAAAAATTAGCCAGGCATGGTGGCGGGCGCCTGTAGTCCCAGCTACTCAGGAGGCTGAGGCAGAAGAATGGCGGGAACCCGGGAGGCAGAGCTTGCAGTGAGCCGAGATCACGCCACTGCACTCCAGCCTGGGTGACAGAGTGAGACTCTGTCTCAAAATAATAATAATAATCATCTTGGACGGGTGCAGTGGCTCACATCAGTATTCCAGCACTCTGGGAGGTCGAGGCAGGTAGATCACTTGAGGCCAGGAGTTCAAGACCAGCCTGGGCAACATGGCAAAACCTCATCTCTACTAAAAATACAAAAAATCAGCCGGGTGTGGTGGCCCACACCTGTAATCCCAGCTACTCAGGAAGCTGAGGCATAAGAATTGCTTGAACCTGGGAGCTGAAAGTTGTAGTGAGCTGAGATTGCCCCACTGTACTCCAGCCTGGGCGACAGAGCAGGACTCTGTCTCAAAAAAAAAAAAAAAAAAAAAAGTTATTTTTTTCTTACAATCTCTATCTAGGACTTAATTTTATCTCACATATTTCATATCATAGCCCTAGCCTGTCAAGGTCTTTTTGGATTTTGATTTCATTATCCAACATTTACATCATCTGAGAATTTGACGTGCACATCATATGAAAATTTAACAAGTTTCTGGGAAATCTTGAAGAGGTTGGGGCCAAGTGCTGCCCAAGCATGCCACGAAAGACTTCTTTTCCAGTTTATTGAACAGAGATGTACATAGTGCTGATGAAATGCTGGGTGCTGTAATTTACATGACAAGGCAATGAGGTGCTATGGGTACATTCCTTTTACAAGTAAGGAAACTGAGGCACAGAGCTATCCAGTTCATGAATTTATTTATTTATTTTTTCACAGATGGAGTTTTGCTCTTGTTGCCCAGGCTGGAGTACAGTGGCTCGATCTCGGCTCACTCACTGCAATCTCCGCCTCCTGGGTTCAAGTGATTCTCCTGCCTCAGCCTCCCGAGTAGCTGGGATTACAGGCATGCGCCACCATGGCTGGCTTATTTTGTATTTTTAGGAAAGATGGGG